CCATCCCTTTCCCCACTCAGAACCCCCTCCCATTATTCACCCTTTTCCCTACATGTCACCTGTGTCTATCATGACCCCCTAATATCTTCCTTCCTTCTCCATGCCAATTAATGTTCCCTTGATGAAACCTATAGTTCTCCAAGTTAGTATCTAAATCTTAAGTTTCACACTAAGATAATATGAATATCGTGATAATGACCTTTTAAAGCTATCAATTAGAAACTTCAAGTTTTAGTAGCACATTTCTTCATATGGCCATATTTCATGTTTTCAAATATACCTTATGTTTTTTTGTTGTTGTTAGTCAGACATTGCTCTAAAATGGTTTTGTCTACCTTGAAATTGGTTATTCCTCCTGTGTGTTTTAAATCTTCAGTTTCTTTGGTGACTTTGTGAATGACTTGTTTACAGTGATTATTCTCTTTCTCATGGGTTTCTGGGGGTTTTCTGTAACAGTGAATTAATGATTGGGATGAGTTTTAACTGCATACAACCAGCAAGTGTCCTAGTCTTTGTCATGAGATTCAATACACTGGAGGGTACAGAATTCTTAGTTTTACCTTCCTATATGAACAGAGCTTCAATGTCATTGGGAAAAGAGATAAAGCCTCATGTCTTGATTGTAGTTGGAACTCTGTGTGTGTGTGTGTGTGTGTGTGTGTGTGTGTGTGTGTGTACATTGTCTTCCATAAGAGTGGATATTACATTACAAAAAGAATGTAGGAAGTGTGTAAATCATCTCCATGATACTCATTTTATTGTCATTTCATTTTATGGAATGTTTGCTCCAGAATATGCTTATCACTACATGAAACCACCAGAAAAAACATGGTCTGCCAAAGCTTTTATCAGATGACTTAGGAAAGGGCTTTTCTACTCCAAAAATAAAAATTACATAGCTCTATTAGTCCACTTTAAAAATCATATCTACTCCAGACAAAAGCTGTGCTGCTTCAACACAACAGCATTTTAGGTTTTCCTTTCTCCAGTGTGTGACTGCACCTTTGTAGTTTATACACTGAACATGGAGCATGGTGCCACTAGATGTTAAAATACTGCATGGTTCATTGAATTAGCTCCTGGATTCCTGTGAGCCTTGCTCGTTTCCAGCATTCTGAGGTACCCAGAAGTAATCATGGTCTTTATTTTCTCATGTTCACCAATGCCACTCCATAAACCATGTTCCTTTGTGTACCCTGGAGAGTGTATACTAGATGGCACTTAGCATAAATTAAAACTCACATTGTTTCCTGGTTTTAGAAGATTGTCTGGTCCTTAAGTGATTGACAGGAGTAATGGGAAGCTTGTACCATTGGAAGACTATCATATTGTTTTCTTATTGCCATCAGCATACTGCAACTGTTCTGTTTTCCATTCCTTCCCTGCTTCTTGTTGACTCAGTGCCTTCAATGAGGATGCTCCAACAGCCACTTGGTCTAGCCTTCAGAGCATAGCCATGCATATAAGCATGTTGTGTAAGCTAAGCAGTGTTCTCTCAGGAAGCCATGACCCAGAGCACCAGTGATTAACAGTAACTCTGTCTTCCTAGGTTCTACAAATGTCCCTGATATTAAACAGATTCTTTTTGTATAGAGGAAGAGTTGGACCCTCATAATGAGGTAAGGTAAACTTTCTATGACAGAAATAGAAACATTGCTGTCTGAATTTCCTATTTTGTTTGAGTTTGGCTATTAAAATATGACAGTGTGTGTTATATATACTATGCTGTATTTTCTGTAGTAGTAGAACAGTCTCTTGCCAACAGACAGCTTATGATAAAGAGAATTTGTGAATGGCACAGGCAGGTATAGAATAGATGCTCTACCTGTTCCTCTGGAAAACAATGCTTCTTCCTTGGATTAACTGTTTTGTGATTGGCGACTGACAGAGGGTTAGAGATACATCATTCAGGAAACAATCATAGGTTTGTGACAGATTTATCTTATCTTTGTTTTATCAGCGATTAGTGTTGGCAGTGATTGCCATACCTTTTCATTACTGACAAAGAAAAAACAAAGGCATATGCCTGCATGTCCCATGATGTTACCCTCAACATGTCTTTGTTTCCAAAATTTCAGGGAAATTATAAGTATTGTTTAAGTCCTTGGTGAGGAAAAATGTAAATGTTAAGATAGGTAGGGTGTCCCTTAATGTCTTCTCTTTGAAAGGCCACCCAACTTGCTGTTTCTGGAAGGAGCAAAACAGTCAACATGACTTTTAAAGGTATTCTAGATACCCTTTTACAGTCAAGTATCTGCATAGATTTCCATGAGGCTGTGTGCATAAAGAATGTTAGGGTTTCATGTGCTTCAATGTCTTGTGATTCTGAGTGTATGTGATTGTGTGCGGGGTGATGGTTTATGGAGTACATAGTTCATGCTCCCCCACACACTTTAAATGATTTTTATTAGCTCTGCTGGTCTTTATGACATTTGTGCCTGGGAATTGTTATAACCCCTGCTTCAGAACAAAAACGAAGAATCCCTGACTCAAAGTCAAAAGCAGAATGTTAAAACAGAAATCTCTCTTGGAAATCCATTGTTCTTGCTTCCATGGGTGAACCTTAAATACATTTAAGGAAATTTGAGAGCATTGTCAGCAGGGATGAGTTTTACCATGTGGTTCAGAGATGCTGCCTCTTCATGGCAAACTGCCTCCATGTCCTGTTAAGTGCATATTAAACTAGGTCATATCCACAGATGCTTGAAGTCACTCATGAAAGTCCAAACACTCCCTGCTGTGTCTGGTCATTTCCCAGAGACCTTTAGAGTTAAAAACAATCATTAAGGACAAGGTGGCTTACTTCTGTAGATTCTGGACTCATAATATCTTAGAAGCTGACCCAAAACATAAAAATATATTGAAATATTATAGTACACTTTCGAATAGCACTATGAGCAATAAGATTTTCCAACCTAGCTTGTCAGTAACCAAAGAAAGATTTGGTTGAGCAGCCTGTGCATTTCTGAGAAATGCCTGCTGGTGACACATAACAAGTTTCAATGATCACACATACTGTGCTTTGAAGTTTTCTAATTTTTGAAATTAAATTATATCATTTTCCTCTTTCCACCCTCAGACCATCCCCATGCCCTGCCCCCCTTTCTGTAGCTGGAGTTTTCCTGCCTGGCCCACAGTCAGGACAAATCTCTCTCACCCGCCAGTCCCAAGCGCTCAAACCCGATCAAGTAAACACAGAGACTTATATTGGTTACAAACTGTATGGCCGTGACAGGCTTCTTGCTAACTGTTCTTACAGCTTAAATTAATCCATTTCTATTAATCTATACCTTGCCACATGGCTCGTGGCTTACCGGCATCTTTACATGTTGTTTCTCATCATGGCAGCTGGCAGTGTCTCTCTCTCAGCCTTCCACTTCCCAGCTCTATTCTCCTCCTTGTCCCGCCTATACTTCCTGCCTGGCCACGGGCCAATCAGTGATTTATTTATTGACCAATCAGCAACACACTTGACATACAGACCATCCATTCTTCAAATTCATGTCCTCTGGCCTCCTTTCCTGTAATTGTAGATTGTAGTTGTGTGTGTGTGTGTGTGTGTGTGTGTGTGTGTGTGTGTGTGTGTGTATTCCTAAATATATAGATACAATCTACTCTTTCCATATGTTATCTGTACTATGACATTTCAGAGCTGACCAGAGCTTATTTAAAAACCAATTGGGCTATTCCCTGGGAAAGAGGATTATCTCCCACTCTCTGAAGTTTTTGGTTGCAGGACTAGTGTTCTAAATGGATAGTTCAAGCCAGGCACCCCACAGTAACTTATTCTCTGCATTTTTATTGCTTGTGGTTTTCTGTTATGATCTCATTCTGTTGCAAAGAGAAATTGTTTTGTTGGATGGTTAATGCTACACTGACCTGTGAGTGTAAGGATAAATACTTAGAATACATTTAGAAATTATACTGCATATATATATAATTTTGTGACAGGGACACATTTATCCCAGGCTGAACTCTATGTCACTATATAGTTGAAGTTGACCTTGAACCCTGATCTTCCTTCAGCTATCACCTGAATGCTGGAAGTTTAAGTATATGCCACAAAGTGTGAATCAGCTGGATTTATTTTATATTGTTTAAAGGGGCTTTAATTGAGGAATAAGGATCCTATGACTTATTTCGTTCTGTTTTTTTTGTTTGTTTATTTTCTGGACCATCCTTCTATACTTGAGAATGGCCCAGCAGCAGCCCAAGCTATCTCCATACACACATGTGCACACTGAGAATATTCCCTGAGTGTTTTATAATCATTAGTTGTCAACATGCTCACAGTTACTCTGTTTTCTCCTAGATTTCCCAGGTGATATACATGTTCCAGAATCCAGATATATGGCAAGAACACCTTATTGTGACTTCTATAAAAATACAGCTCTATTTGGGTTCCATGTGTGTTACTCTTTGAAAGACAGTTTCCTTTTTGGAGTTCAGGTGGTTTTCCTGCCACTGGGTCTCCAGCTCTTTGGTGTCCTTGACATCACCACATCTATTAAAATTCAATCATAGAAGCAGTTCCCTCAGGAATTACTTTCCCTGTTCTATTAAGGATTTGCTTGCAGTGTTAATGGACTTGGGAAGTACAGTGCAGGGAAGGCTCTTTCCATCTGTACTTGTGTCATATGCAGCACCAGTAGAGCTATATTCCCATTTTCCCTAAGTCATCCAGAGAAAACCAGACCATTGTGAAATATATAGTATAGCCCAATCTTAACAATGCTTTCTGATTTATAATTGTAGGTGGCTTCCAACATGCTAGGAAGTTGTAAGCATCTGAAATATGTCTCTTGTTCAGGAAATCTCTTAGTGTTTCCTTCCTAAGAAGCCTGAATCAGGATTCTTGTTGGGAAGGAAGGTTGAAAGTTAAATGAGAGGAAATGATTCTGCCATAGATGCTCCATGAAAAATCCCAAGAAGAACTGGGGTTAATTTTGTGTGCGCTGGCCTGAATTCACCTGGTACAATCTGTCCTGGTGTTCTTGCAGATATAGCCCAGGTGGGAGACACAGATGTTGAACAACAGCAGAACATCGACAGTAAAGAGAGCTTACCTGGAGAGTAACAGCATGCCCTACTGGACTCTATAGGAGAGGATCCAGGACACAGCCAGATTGTACCTTCTGCTTGGCAGGCTGAAGCAGTGGGGAATGTATCAGTGAGGTGAAGTTTTGCATGGAGATTTGTAGCTGGAGTTTTCCTGCCTGGCCCACAGTCAGGACAAATCTCTCTCACCTGCCAGTCCCACAGCCGCTCAGACCCGACCAAGTAAACACAGAGACTTATATTGGTTACAAACTGTATGGCCATGGCAGGCTTCTTGTTAACTGTTCTTACAGCTTAAATTAATCCATTTCCATTAATCTATACCTTGCCACATGGCTCGTGACTTACCGGCATCTTCACATGCTGTTTCTCATCGTGGTGACTGGCAGTGTCTTTTCTGACTCAGCCTTCCACTTCCCAGCTCTATTCTCCTCCCTGTCCCGCCTACACTTCCTGCCTAGCCAATGGCCAATCAGTGTTTTATTTATTGACTAATTAGCAACACATTTGCCATACAGAACATCCCACAGCAGAGATTTGTGTACTACTCCTTCCAGGCATAATTGTAAAGAGGGATAGAAACAATGACACCAAACCCCACTGTCAGTTAAAGATGATTTGGGGGAGCTGGAGAGATGACTCTTTGATTAAGAGCACTGTCTGCTCTACCAGAGGACCAGATTTGAGTCCCAGGGCCCATATAGCTGCTGACAATGATCTGTAACTCAGTTCCAGGGTATCTGATGCCCTCTTCTGGTCTTGGCTGGCCGGCATGCAAGAGATATGGAGACATTCAAATGCAGGCAATACAGATGAAATAAACTTAAACATAAAAATATAATCTTTCCCACAACACCCATCCTTCCTACCTGTTACTTCCAAATCTCCCAGCCTCAGGTTCCAATCAGTAGCTCTTCTTGGAAATTGTGTGTATTCTGATGTAGTCTTGGAAAAAGTGTACATGTGGTGCTCACTTTTGATTGATGAATTGTGACAGAAGGAACTATCAACGGATCACAACTCTCTATAGTCAATGATATGAACCTGAGTACAAAGGTCATGTAGTGTGGGCCCAATAATGCAGAAGAAGCTAATCCTCTTCTGGCTGGTCCTGAAGAACTTATAACAGTACCTCCATGTTTCTGTTCAGTCTTTTTTTTCTAAACTCTTGAAGTACCAGCTTCTATTTATTTATTTGTTTGTTTATTTATTATGTATATAGTGTTCTACCTGCATGTACACCTGGGTGCCAGAAAAGTGCTCCAGATCTCATCATAGATGGTTGTGAGCCACCATGTGGTTGCTGGGAATTGAACTCCGGGTGTCTGGAAGCCAGTGCTCTTGAGTTCTGAACCATCTCTGCAGCCCTCATTCAATCTTTATATAAAGGGTACTCTATGGGTGGATGGCAGAGTGAGTAGTCTGGCCTCATTGAAGCACTTTCTGTAACCTAAGATGTCAAGGAACCAGTGGAAAGCTGAGGCTGATCTGGTGTGAACTGATATGACTGTATCTTCTGTAGGCAGAATGAGCCCACAGAATGATGCTTTTGAAGTACAACTCTGGGAGTTGAGAAAGGTATCAAGCACTGTAGCTCAAGGTAGGTAACTACATTGCATTCTGGGTCTACATTATCATGTGTACAAGGTGTCAGTGGAGACAGGAACAGAACAAAGGCTGTATATGAGCTCATTTCCAGCCTGTGCTCCTCACACTAGACTGACCTTTAGGGTGAATGAGTCAAAGGACACATTGACACCTATCTTGGAGCTTCTGACCTAGTACTTCTGGATTCATAGACTTTCTGTTCATAGCCAGTCATTGTTAGATTAGCTGGACAGCAGGCTGTAAGTCATTCTAATAAATCCTACTTCTATATCTATGTATAGAGAGATTTGCCTGCCTCTGCCTCATGAATGCTAGGATTAAAGGCATGTGTCACCACAGTCCTGCTTCTCCATGTATTTAAAAAAAAGGTAAAGAACAGCAAGTTGAGTGGGTAGAGAAAGGGGATGAATCTCGAAGAAATTGTAGTTGAGGTGAATATGACAAAATGAGTTGAAAAAATTCTCAAGTAATTATTAAGAATTTTTTAATGTTGATAATTGCTAAAACCACAGATTGTTGCCATTAACTGTGAAATTACAAAAGGAAAAGCAAAAACATAAGCACACCACAAAATATTTAGAAATAGTAAAATGTTGTAGCAACATTACTCTTTATTCTTTTATTATACAAGTTCTCACTGTATACCCTAGACAGGCCTTATTGTCTTAGGCCCACACTGGTGATTGCTATTCCAATGTAGCTTTCAATATTCTCTGCATTAATGTCAGGGGTTTTCCATTTCAGGGATAATCTCTAGGTACTAAATTCTGTAATAACCTTGAAAGAACAAGCTTTTTGAAATTGTGTTAGTAAATTCCCCAATGAACATGTCTTAATTTTTTGCTTTTGTAGCTCGCTTCTCTGAAAGCCCAAATTCAGTATTTGGTATTTCCAACACTCTTTTTATTTCTGCTTGGATATTACACTCAATTGTAAAGAAAGCTATTGCTTAATTTCTTCTGTTTGTAAGTTGTGCTTTTCAGATGTTCTTTAGGAGGTTGGTATTTTAGGTAGGATCCTACTTGGTAGTGCATAGTAGCTTCTAACTCACAGTAATTCTCAGGCCTCTAATCATGCAAGCTCAGGGAAAGTTACCTTTGCAGACAGGTGGGGGTTCAAAATCAATGTACAATCAATACCTACGTCCTCCTCAAATTTTGCTGTCATCTGATTTCATCAAGAATTCAAATTCTGCCAATCTGATTCATTGGCATTCTCCTGAGACATAAATATAATTTACCAGGATAGATAGGTGTGATGGTGACTGACATTTATGTGAACTTTATAACAAATATTGTATGCCATTTCCTCAGAAATCTAAGTTTTTCTTTTTTGTTTGCAGGGTTTGGATGACATGTTTAGAAAGTGAGTTTAGCCTTCAGTGCAAGCCAGGATACCCTGAAATATGCTATGAAATAGAACAAGCTGCCTTAGCAATGTGCAGATATCTTTCACATAGAAAATACTCAATTGTGTGTGTATGATGTGTTTGGGATTTTTTTATTTGATTTGTTATATTTATGTGTGTGTGAGTGTGCATCCACCTGTGCCATTGCTCATGTGTGCGGGTCAGAGCACAACTTTCAGGAGACAGTCTTCTTCTTCCATCAAGGGTCCTGTGGATTGAACTCAAATTGTCAGGCTTGTGTAACAAGAGATTTATTTATCCCCTGAGCCATTTGGCTGTACTTGGCGTGAGGTTTTTCCTAATCACTGTGATGATATCTTTAGCACCAGGTAGATCAATATTATCTTCTCCTTGCAGGAGTGAGTCAATGAAGCTCTGTATGCCCCAGACTATGAAACCAGAACTCAATGCCCTACCCATCACTTGACTGATTGAAAATTACAACCAATTCCAAGGTGTCTCCACTGATAAAATGACCAGAGGTCCCTCTCAATAATGTGATAACCTTTGCAATTGTTAAAATATTTTAACTTTCCAGAAACACAACTAGGTAAGTCACATTCTAATCCTATTTTTTCATGTGGTCATCTTACAAATAAACAAACATAAATGAATACCAATATCATGTTGTATGTGATAGTGGCTGAAAGAGAGTATCAGTTGTTCCTTGAGACATAAAGGATGGTTAAGTAATTCAGGACAGCCTAATTCAATTTTAGTGTACTCAATGATGGAGATATTTGATTATTTTCCTTAAAACTCTTCAGCAATTAATTTCTTCTACTAGATTTTACTCCATTAATTAAAAAAGGCTCCCTCCTCTACAGCATCTAACCATTCTGTTTCTTGTGGAAATCCTTGACTGTGATGTATTTGAGCCATACTTAACCTCAAGTCTTAGCCTTCTCTTTTTAAAATCCAAGAAGACTCTATGGACCTTGCTCCCCTGAGAAATGTAAATGGTCATTTTAACTAAAATGTTGATTCTTCCCACAGTACACATTTTCTTTGAACACATCACCATTATCCATCACAATGTGAACATATTTAATGCCATGAGAAGATTCAGTTTCAGACCATAAAGATACATCTGCAGATTATGCTGGATGCTATTTTGCTTCCTGGAGATCACAGAGCTTCATCTCAGGGAAATATTACTGCGAGCTGGATTGGAAGGACTCTTGGGACTGGGCTGTAGGGGTCTCTAAGGATTCCTTGTTAAGGAATAGAAACCAACTGATTGAATCTGAGGTTGCATTTTTTTAAAAAATTTATTTTGCAATACAATTCAGTTCTACATATCAGCCACGGATTCCCTTGTTCTCCCCCCTCCCGTCCCCCTCACCTTCCCCCCAACCCCCCCCCCCCCATTCCCATCTCCTCCAGGGCAAAGCCTTCCCCACAGACTGAGGTCAACCTGGTAGACTCAGTCCAGGTAGGTCTAGTCCCCTCCTCCCAGGCCGAGCCCAACAATCCTTCATAGGCCCCAGGTTTCAAACAGCCAACTCATGCAATGAGCACAGGACCCGGTCCCACTGCCTGGATGCCTCCCAAACAGATCAAGCCAATCAACTGTCTCACCCATTCAGAGGGCCTGATCCAGTGGGGACCCCTCAACCATTGGTTCATAGTTCATGTGTTTCCATTCATTTGGCTATTTGTCCCTGTGCTTTATCCAACCTTGGTCTCAACAATTCTCGCTCATATAAACCCTCCTCATTCTCGCTAATTGGACTCGCAGAGATCCACCCAGGGCCTAGTCATGGATCTCTGCATCCAGATCCCTCAGTAGTTGGATGAGGTTTCTAGCATGACAATTAGGGTGTTTGGCCATCCCATCACCAGAGTAGGTCAGTTCGGGCTGTCTCTCGACCATTGCTAGCAGTCTGTTGTGTGGGTATCTTTGTGGATTTCTGTGGGCCTCTCTAGCACTTTGCTTCTTCCTATTCTCATGTGGTCTTCATTTACCATGGTCTCCTATTCCTTGTTCTCCCTCTCTGTTG